TATAAAATAATAAGCGCTGTACTACCCGGCTTCGCCCGGGACTTGTATCCACCATGCCCGGCCGCCTTTGTCTCCCAGTGGCGATGTTAATACGCCACACCAGTTACTGTTTTGAGGCTGAGTCCCTCCCTCACCGCTCTCCCTCCCTCACCCTCTCCCTCCCTCACCGCTTTCCCTCCTCAGCGCTCTCCTTCCCTCACGCTCTCCCTCCCTCACCACTCTCCCTCCTCACCACTCTCCCTCCCTCACCGCTCTCCCTCCCTCACCGCTCTCCTCCCTCACCGCTCTCCCTCTCTCACCGCTCTCCCTCCCTACCGCTCTCTCCTCGCTCTCCCTCCCTCACCGCTCTCCCTCCCTCACCGCTCTCCCTCCCTCACCGCTCTCCCTCCCTCACCGCTCTCCCTCCCTCACCGCTCTCCCTCTCCCTCACCGCTCTCCCTCCCTCACCGCTCTCCCTCCCTCGCCGCTCTCCCTCCCTCACCGCTCTCCCTCCCTCACCGCTCTCCCTCCCTCACCGCTCTCCCTCCCTCACCGCTCTCCCTCCCTCACCGCTCTCCCTCCCTCACCGCTCTCCCTCCCTCACCGCTCTCCCTCCTCACCGCTCTCCCTCCCTCACCGCTCTCCCTCCCTCACCGCTCTCCCTCCCTCACCGCTCTCCCTCCCTCACCGCTCTCCCTCCCTCACCGCTCTTCTCCCTCACCGCTGTCCCTCCCTCACGACTCTGTAGAGGACGTGAAACTTTGATGAATTTACCTCAGAGTCGCGTGGTGGGTGTCGAGGCCTAGCACCGTGCAGAGCCTCCGGCCTCGCCTGATTTTGCCACCCGGCTGACGCTGGGTACGGGTGCCGTTCCCCCCCCCCCCCCCCCGCACTACAATAATACTGTCTAATCGCTATAATTGAATAATCTACCGACCCTATAATAGTAATTGCACACATTGTGGTGGGGGGGGAGTGAAGAGGACGTGAAACTTTGATGAATTTACGTCAGAGTCGCGTGTTAATGCGTGCGCCTATTTTTAAGGGGAATTAAAAATGGCGTCCACCCCGCGGCGAAGGCGTGGCTACCCGTTGCCAGGGGCAACCGCCGTCCAATGAAAGCGGCGAAGGCGTCGCTACCCGTTGCCAGGGGCAACCGCCGTCCAATGAAAGTGCGTATGGTCCGGCGACACACACACACACAGACAGACAGACAGATTCGCGATTTATATATATAGAAAACAATGAAAATTCTCACGACGTTTCGACTGCAACACAATCAATCATCATCAGGTGTGAAATCCACAGCAAGAATTTTTTTTATTTTTTATACTTATATTACTTTATTATTTCCCTTCTACGTGACTTTACCGAAAGAACCAAGAATATGAATCCCTGCAGTCACGAAAGCTTTAAATAAAAATGTTTACATCACTTGTACCTGATTGATTTGTGGATTACATTGTCGTCATTTATGATGTAATTTTCGTGATGGAATCGTCGCAGTGAAAGCGCCAGCATTTATTCATTTCGATTGAAAGCATCATAAGAAGCCTCTTGCAAATTAAAGAATCCCGAACAGATTGAAAGACGAATAGGCTAAAATATAGGATGATGCATTTATGAACTCCCCACTGAAATAAGAGAAACATTGGGAAAACATCACTGAATTTTTCCCACCAATCACAACACGCTTGATAGTCAGCTCTTGACCAAATCACCATTAAATCGTCCCTTGAGAAGGAAGATTATTGGAAATTATTGTGGTGTTTATAAATGCGTCGACCCTGTTTGGTACATAACGCGTGTAATATTGTAATCCTGAACGGTTTACAAGAGCGTGGTTACGATCCTTGAGTATTCGGGTGATGTGGCTTTGTTTAACACGCCCTGGAGCAATTAATATACAAACGCTAACACCACCACGCCGATTATCATCATTATTGACCTGCTTCATTCTGTGCCGATGGCTGCATTACATTAATGGGGTCTCCGATATCGGGACCACGTGTAAGTTAGTTTAACACGTAGGCTTTCGCGACCAATATCGTCTATAATGGAGGTTAGATCGCGTAAACATATATAAATATGGCTTGGGCCCCGCAGTTATACAAGTATACATTTACGCGATTTAACCCAAAAAATCTTCTATTATGGACGTGTAAGTTGATTAGCACGTAGGACATTTAAATCCGAGAATAATAAATTATCGCATTGGCAGCTGATCTGCGAAATGTATTCTGCAGCACTGATCATCAAGCCTAAGCAGAGTAAATCTATTGCACTTGAAGTAGTTCACTCTGATTTAAAGCTTTCGTGACTGCAGGGATTCATCTTCTTGGTTCTTTCGGTAAAGTCACATAGAAGGGAAATAATAAAATAAATAAAATAACATAATAAAAAATCGGGCGCTGTCTTTCCGACAGCCCTGTTCTTCACCTGAGGACGGCTGCTTGCGTTGTGGCCGAAACGTCGTGAGAATTGCATTTTATTATGTTTTATTATTTTATTATTTCCCTTCGACGTCACTTTAGCGAAAGAACCAAGAAGATAGTTCACTCTGACTCAGCCGCTGCTCGTCTCAGCGTTGTGAGTGGCTACCGCAGTCGGCTCGCGCGCTCCCAGACGCTTGGCCCAATCGGCTTGTGTGCACTAGCAAGTGCGAATTGTAGCCTGGTAGGGGTTTGGTTGGACCCTTGTCTGTTGTCGAAAATGTAATCGTGCTCGTTGCGCGGGCAAGCCCCCGCGTCCCAGAGGCGCGGAATTTGAAATTTGAGGCGCCAAAAAAAACCCCGTGGCGTAAGTCTGCAGCGGTGGTGTTGCTATGGGTGAGCAACGGCATCGCGATTCACTCTGCACGATCTGAACGTACAGCGGTGGGGCTTTGGGGCTTTGCTCATGCACCGCTCGACCTGCCTGCATTATATTAAGACCGGTTTATTGTGCAGTTATAGATATTTGCAGGGTTAAGTTAAAATAAAAACACTTTCTCCCCTGGTTTGAGTGTTGGGTAAATCTGAACAGCAGATTAAAAAGCATTTGACTTTTTCACATGGCTACGCATTTGTTAACCCGAGCGCGTTTGTTGCCTTTGTATTTTTGTTCAGGCAACGTGGACGAGAGGGTGCTCCAGAATGTCATCGAGGCCTGAGTGGCTGACCGGGCTGGCCCATCGGGCCGCCCCACCACGTCCCCAGCCGTGCAACTCTTCGCCGGCACTGACCCGTGGAGGGAAGCGCGAGTCCAGCGTGAGCCCCAGGGCCGTGACGCAGCTCCCCGTGGCCAAGACGCGGCGGCCTCGGCACTCAAAAGCGGTCTCGCGCCACAACAGGGATGATGGCATCAAGTCTGACAGGACCGACAGCGATTCATGCAGCTACACGGATCCGAGTGGCCTTGAGGAGGACGAGGAGGGCTTCTGTGACGATGAGAGGCGTGCGCTGGACCGTGCGGCGGTGCACGAGGACTCGGGCCTGGGCTCCAGCGTCACTGACGACGGCACGGTGTCCCGTGAGGCAGGCGGCGAGGGGTTGGATGCTCCGGGCAGCTCTGTCAGAAGTTGCCCGGGATCGGACGCGAGCGTGGCGGAGTGGTCCCGAACATCCGTGGACTTGGACGACTCTCCCTTCCTGCCGGCTGTGACGAGCAGCTGGAAGCGAGACGAGGACTCTGCGGATTTGGCGAAATCCGGCCGACATAACTTTGCTGCAGGGGAGCGTAACACCCTGGATGAACTTTTGGGCAAAAAGGCAGAGGCCGTCGAAAGCGGCGTGGGCATGGGGACAGAATGCGGTGGTGCCGTGGGCACGCGGCGACCGGACGTGTCCGGCCACGTTGCCCTCCCCGACGCCAGCTTGTTCTCGCCGACTACGGAGAAGCGAGACTCTGGAATCAGACTCACGCCGAACTCCTCCATCCTCGACTACGGCGACGACGGCGACACGAGCGGCCGCGACTCTCTGGATGGTGCCCGCGCGTCGACGTCGCTCTCGCCGCCATTCCTGAAGACGCCGCAGCCAAACCGCAGGGGCCGCGAGCGCGGCGCCAGTTCCGTGTTCCGCACGCCAGTGACGGCGCTCGCGCGCACGTTCAACCTGGACCCGTCATCCCCCGGCGGCTTGCGGTGCTCTCCCTCGCTGGGCGGCAGGGACGCGGTGCCAGGCTCTCCCGCGGTCGACGACGACGGCAGCTTTCGCTGCGTTTTCTCGGAAAGGGGCCGCGTCGTTACGGAGGGCGGCAACGACGCGGATGAGCGCAGCCTGGACGGCTCGGGCGACGACCTCACGCCGGACCTGTGGCCACGTAGCCGCAGACTGGGCCGCTTGCAGAGCCCCTCTACCATCCGCGAAGGCGGCTCCCGGTCGGACGTCGATGACGGCCGGGCGAACGTACAGGTGGCGCGGCACGTGGAGGAGGCGGCGGCGGCGTCCGGGTCGCCGAGCTGCCGTCGAGTGGTGAACACGCGCAGCCAGCGGAGGATGGTCACGGCGAGAGACGGCGTCGCCAGTGCCGCCTTGAGAAACGCCGCCGTGCACACGGCGCCCCCGTGCGTGTCGCGCCATGCCACGCCACCCACGCGCGCTGGCGTGGTGAGCGCCGATGCGGTGCTCACGCCCGCCCTGAGGCTGCAACAGGAGGTGGCGTGGCGGTTCTGTCAGGGCCTGCAGGAGGCCACGCCTGTGGGGGCTTCGGGTCGAGCATCGACGTCGGCGTGGAGGCACAGGTACCCGTAGGGCATCGTGACTCTCTCCGGTGCTGTTCATGTTGTTTCAGGGTGTTCTTGAGAGGCCACTCTAAGCACATTTCATCTATTCAGATCAATATTTTTACATAGTATTTTATATTTTCTCATTTTATCCCAATTGAGCTATTTTTGGCATGTCATAAGACATAATCCATTGGTAACTTGCTGAGCAATGCACCTCTTTGTGTGAACGAATAGCTCACGGAATCAGATACCACAAAGTTACCTCTGGTCCACATAGTTGGGGGCAGCACTTTCCCACCTGTGCTATCACTGAAAATATTTTGAATTCTCAGTGCTTGGAATTGTCAAATTTAGTGAACAACCAAATTTTATGCTGTGTCTTTTTGTACAGTCTTCGGTTCTTCCACCAAGAGCAGGAACTCTCTGCCCTTGAGATCCCAGTTTTATAACAGGCAGCTGGCTGGATTACAACCCCAGGATCTCAGCAGTTCCAGCTCCAAGTTCTGACCTGAGCCACCCAGTCGCCGCCTAACATAGAGATAGTTTTTATGCTAAAAATACGTGAATTGAATCCTACCTTTCAGGATTGACCCTTTACATTCGACGCTAAATATTTTCTGCTGTTACATTGAGGTTAGCGGAGCCAACATAATTGTACTAAAAAAGTCTGAAGCAATCCAAACGAGGTAGTTAAATCAAGTGATATTTAAAAACACTTCTTTTTTAAACACGCTTTAATGAAATGTACCGTACGAGTAATGGCAGAACTTCACGACTCGAGGAAGTGGCCCCGAAGCTTGCCACGGCGTAAGGGACCGTGGTGATTTACAGCCAACGTGAGTTGATTGTGGGCAATTAGACCCAAGCCGAAACACAAGATATACAAAAGATTGTTTAAAAAATATATATTTTTAATGCTAGAATATAGTATTGTCATCAGTATGACATACGTATACCCAGTTTGCAGTCGATACCACATTGGGAAGTGGGGTAAAATAGAGTTACAAGATTTGAGGATACGGCAATAGACAGAGTTGAGGATACAAGAGACAGTGTGAGTTAAATGAAAGCGTGTAAAAAGAGAAGATAATCAGACCATGAAACATCAATTGTGATTTAACACGTGGGAGGCTTTCGCGACCAATATCATTCATAATCAACGTTTTTGGGTTTAGATCGCGTTATTTATTAATGTGTCGTAACCCTCCACCACCCGACACGGCCAATCAGTAAAAAAGTGTCACGTTGACAGAAGACAAATAGTTCACTGCTTTAGCCCACCGGTGTGTTGAAGCGAATTGCCCGATGATGCTGGATGCAATTACCAGCGAAACGTCGTACTACTCAAATTGTAAATGTTGTGGTTTCACGCTTCAACACACCGGTGGGCTAAAGCAGTGAACTATTTTGTCTTCTGTCAACGTGACACTTTTTTACTGATTGGCCGTGTCGGGTGGTGGAGGGTTACGACACATTTATAAATAACGCAGCGATCTAAACCCATAAACGTTGATTATGAATGAATTATGATATTCAGCAAATCACCATGGCTGTGTAAATGCCAACTAAATGAAGCAATCTATGTTTTATATGGAGCGTCCTTTATTAACCCTGCAAAGCATCACTGCTGCGGGTCGAGGGGTGGTCATGCAAACAAAACATCTGTCTTGTGTTGAGTGTGCTTTCACAAGCAGGTGTGCTCGACTGTTTAGTTTGGATAGCATCCAGAGGGCTTCACAATATCCATATTTCATTCTCAAAGTGTTTAAATTCTGCTAGACTATTTCATTTAAATGTGGGATTTGGAAACCAGATTAAGAGAACTTACACCAGAAAGACGTAAACGCTAAAAAAAATAGTCGTCTACATCAGGCCCCTAAAGCACAAGGCAGCCGCAGTCAGCATCGCTGGCTCTGCTTTAGTAATGATTCTTCACATTTTTAAATCCTTTATATTAAGTTCACTTGCTTGCTTGCTTGCGCGCTTACGACCGTGCAAATCTTTCGGTCGTTTTTTAACCCACTTCCCGTGATCCAATCGAGCTGACATTTTGCACACAGACTCGTTGTGCGTGACAATTTATTTTCGTGAAACATTTTTTACAAAATTTTACACTTTTTAGGAATTTTTTTTTCATATTTAATTTAAAATACCAATGTGATAAAAATGAAACTCTTACTCAAGAAAAACTGAAATGAATAATAAAATAAAACCGATGCCACGCATATAAAGGATTTATAGTGAAAAACGTTGTTTTTACGGGTTAATTTTTGGTGTGTACTATTAAACTATAAAATCCACTTGCAGGTTTAGTCTCGCAAAAACACACACAACCAACCAAGCGGTGACTGGCACTGCCGTCCGTCCTTGTGGTGGTTGCTCGCCGAACAATCGCATTGGGACGTGCCACGTGGTTTGAACGTTGCCGCGTGCTGATTGGCTCTCCCGTTTCTTCCCGACGGCAGCCCGGCGCAGCTCAACGACGCGATGAAGCAGGCGCTCGCTTCCGTGCCCGTCGCCCTGAGGGAGAGCCCCTCGCTCAAGCAACTCATTGGACGTGAGATGGGCTGCAAGTTCCTCGACATAATCGCCGCGCTGGAGGAGAAGGGCCTCAGGCGCGTGGTGTGCCAGCTGCTTGGCTACCTGTCGGCGGCGGACCACGACAGGTACGCAAGTGGTGGGGCCCACACCCTCCGGAGGCTGCTCTGGCCACAAGCGGGAATGAGCCATTTAGACTCGCTCGCTCCCCTTGCCTGTGGTCACAGCAGTTCATGTACCAGACTTTACCACACGGTGTCATCAGCTGGGACCGTCACAGCCAGATTTGCTGTATCAATACATGGGCTGCAAGATTTGCTGTGTCAGTACAGCGAAAGATTTGCTGTATCATTACAGCAAATGTGGCTGTGACGGTCCCACCTGATGACGGAGACTTGTGTTGCCTCCGAAACGTCGTGATGTTTATTATTTTATTTTTATTAATTTTAATTTCATTTTTTTACCTACATGGTGACTTTACCGAAAGAACTAAGAGTTTGAATCCTTGCAGTCACGAAAGCTTCAAATCTAGAAATTACCACACTGGTCGGTGCCGGTTGGTGAAGGCTCCCCAGGACTGCTTGAGATATCGATTCTCACGTATGTGATCTGCTGCCAGGTTCATTGTGTAGTGTGCCTACTCCTGTGCTACTACTTCACCACTTCTAATAGCAATATTGCTATTTATTTGCCCAATAAAGTCTCACAACTCGGGACTGCTAACTCTGTTGTGGGGACAGGTGAAAGGCACACGTGGCTAAGTGGTACGTGTCTTGCGGCAGGTTGTGCCAAGTGAGCGCAGTGTGGCGCGCTGCCGTGGACTGGGGGCGGGCGCTAAGGCTCTTGACTCCCAAATCGGTGCCCGTGATCTGGCACAAGGTACGTGTGGGGCCAGTGAGCGTCTACGACTCCAGCCGCTTGGTGTGCGGCCACGCAGAAGTCACGTCATTTACGTGAGGCTTGAGCTCATTTTACACTTATTGATGCGAATTGAAAGCGATCAATTCTCAGAACCGTGTTTTAACAACGCAGTACAACACGGCACAATCTGAATGCAACATGATGTCAGCTGTAACCATGCACAGTGCTCCATAGGTGGCACTCAACCCATTCTACTTAAAGCATACATTAGGAATCTTCATTTATCCTGGAGTTGTCAAAGTGGGGAGAAGGTCACATGACAATTAGCCAATGACCATATTCAGCCCATGATCCATTCACTGAAATCTATTGCAGTGGAGCAGCAGTGGAGACGTTCATTGCGGGCTGCTTGAGCGTAACCTCGTTGTGACTCTTCCCTCCCCAGGAGAACGTGCCCAACCCGTGGGCGGGCGACGACGTGGCTGACGCACGTTGGCACCAGCCGGTGCCCAGGGGCAGTCCCTTGGCACCGTCCGGCCAAAGCCTCGCGACGCCGTCGCCCACGAATGGGCAGGCAGCGAGCAGCCGAGCGAGCAGCCAGCACGAGCGCTTCGTGGCGGTATGGAGACACTTGTGATGGGGGGGCAAGGCGATAGTGATTCTGTCATGTGATGGAAAATACGAATAAGCTTTTCCCCTATTCTGGCAATAAAACAGGTGTTAGGATGTTCAAATATCAAATAGATACCCACTGCAAGGCATCAAGCCGCATTAACCACACGTACTTGTGGGAAACATGAAATGTTATTGTCAATTCACCTTAATTTATTTTTACTCGAATACTCGATGTTAAATTCTATCAGGTACGGGGAAGTAGAAACTGCATTTCCCATAAATATAAATATGCTAAATTCCTCTTGATATGCAAATTCTTTTGTCAAGGCGCCCTTTCCCCCCCTTCCAACCCAGCGTATATACATGCTCCAAGCTCGTGTGCTGTTTCATTCAGACGCTGTCGCCTCGACAGACCTGGTTTCACCTGAGGACGGCTGCTTGCGTTGTGGCCGAAACGTCGTGAGAATTATTTTATTATGTTTATTTTTATTATTTTATTACTTCCCTTCTACGTGACTTTACCGAAAGAACCAAGAGGAAGTAGAAACTAGGTGCCTCCACTTCAGACACGACAATATATCCCTTCAACGCTTTGTCATCGCGCCCTTCTCTCTCCGTCCACCGCCGCAGGTGGGCCGCACGCTCCACAGCGACGAGTCGCTGCGCAAGTGCCCGCGCTGCCAGTCTCCGGCGCGCTTGCGCCGCGCGGAGGAGCGGGCGCTGTGCACGCGGGAGTCGTGCGCGTACGACTTCTGCGCGACCTGCTGGTGCCCGTGGCACGGGTCACGCCCGTGCAGTCCCGCGCGGACGGCGCGCCGGGGGCCGTCGGAGGCGCTGCCCGGCACCAAGCGGAGCAAGCGCAACCTGAGGCGGCTGTGACGCGGCGGGGCCCGGGGGGGTTGGTGGCGGTGGGGAGGAGGAGAGCTGCCAACTCGGACGTTTCATTTCTTCCGCCGAGAGATGTTTGAATGTGCGCCACACCGGCTATGGTCACGACCCCCGCCACCGCCACCACGCCCCCCCCCCACCGCCCCCCAACCTGGACACGCCTGTGGACACCTCAAGTCGACCGGGTTAGGTCGATGGACTCGGTGCCTGCATCGCCTTCGTGTTGTCGGCCTCTCAACGAGGTCACTGGATACTTTTATCGAAGACTAGGTGAGAGATTGAGAGGAATGCCTCTATTGCTAGTGTGACCTGGGTAAGCGACATTAGTTTTTAAACTAAATACAAAAGTCAGTCCTAAAGGAATGAGTTTTACATTTAGAAATGAAAGAACATGGCATCCAGCTGCTTGTGAGATCCCTTCAAGTGATCTCCTCGCCACACGACCAGCACGCACAACACTTCGCTATCGCACGTCCTGCTGTACAGATGTTCATCGTATGCCGATCAAACCGAAATGTTTAATTCTCAGAGCTGGAAATTTGGAAGATTATGTGAAAAGCCAAATATAATGATGGTTTTCGTGCATACAATGTGTTAACTTACCTGTGCTGTGCATTATCTGATGTACATATCAGATTATGATGGCAAACGCGGTTAAATGAAGTGAATACCAAGGGTTCGTGAATTTCGATTCGACCTATGAGATGGTCACCTCCTTTCGCCAAATAGGTTCAGAAGGTGGCATTTTCGGGAAGAAGAAGAAAACACGAGGCCTTGTGGTCTAACGAACGTGAATATGACGTGAATCGCAGGCTGCGTATGTACGCACGTGCCCGCGTCTCTCCTCCCATCGCGTGGCTCGGCTCGGGATGGAGTTGGATTTTAAAGCGCGTCGCTGAAGAATTCCTGGCGCCGACGTGCGGAGGGGAAGTTGTCCGCGTCGCCGCGAATGCGTTGGGCAGCTAGCGCCTCGTGTGCACTGGACAACGGACGGCACATCTGTCGGCGCGTATTGGTGATGCTCGCGGGATGACAGACTGCACGAGCGCGATCAACAAACGCCGCCTTTGCGCGCGAAGCGTTACGTGGAATGGAACGGTGCTGACACGGCTGTCGTTTCCGTCGTGGCTCCTTCGAGCACGGAGGAACATTGGGAACGTTTGTCGTCTTGCCACTGAATACCGTCACTTTATTAGGAAGAATGTGTTGATTGCAGTCGTCGAAGTGTTCTCTGTCATTGCCTCAAGGCCAGTTGGTGGGTTGGCCGCAGTTGGTGAGATGTTAGAAGGTTAAGAAACTTGACGGTGGCCACCCGCTTGGCACGGTGTTACTCACGGTCGTGCAAAGCAGTCGTGGTGATTACCCAGCGGTAGCCGGCGATGATCTCCTTAAGAGACAGCCGCTGTCACAGTATGCAGGCTGCGTGTGGACAAAGCGAGCGGCACTGCACACGGTGTTACAAATGTTCAAAGGGTGACGTTCTGAAGGGAGTTGACATTCTGCGCCCTATCTGGAGCAATGAAGACTGACCAGCATTGGAGCTGATGTGCGTGTGTACAGCACTGCTTGGGCAATCCCTATGTAAGTCGCGGCGAGCGTCACCCGATGTGCTCAGGATAAGGATGACACGTGCATTAATGCGTTATGTATATAATTCTGCAATCGTAATCGCATGTACGGTGTAAACTTGAGCTTTGTATTTGCCTGGTTAGTGTTTGTAAAGGTTCGGAGTTTTTGGTGAATCTGGATCATCTGGTTTCTGTCGACCGAGCGGCGTCATGCGCACAGCCTCATTTCCCCAAGGTCTTGTTCACAATTTGAACGCAAATTTTAATCCCATAGTCCACATTTAGACGAATGTTTATGCGATCAAGATGCTGTGAATGGCCCAGTGCCCCCCACGTAGTTACTGGAAAAGTAACAACTTTAAAGCCCAATTTTAACCATTAAATATTGTTAATGTCCTCACATGGCTCCTCAGAATAACGGATTAGTCATTTTAATCTGTTCGTTTTTTTCTTATTGAATAGTATTCCCTCTCTGAACCGTTCCGGAGATGCTGGTGAATAGCCAATGTCGCGGAGAATGAAAACCGATCATTTTAATTAATGACCTTAAATAATCAATCTCGTCACTTTATCACATTCTTCCTCGGTCACTTGATCTCATCACTTTCCGTCTGTCTCGATGCAGTCGTGCAGCGTTCCAGATGCGATTCAACGGATAGGCCAAAGTCACGGACAACACATTCGTGAATAGCGAGGGAGCGCTGTGTTTAATGTTGTTAAGTCGACTTGAGACATTGCTGTGCCACGTGCCTTATACGCCTGTGTGTGTGTCTGTGAGACGGGCAGTTTCCCATCTCTGCATCACTGCCTTGCCACGTGGACCGACCCTTGTTCTGCTTCGGCCCGACCCACTCGGCCTTTTACGTGAAAGACCGTGACAACCCCTTTCAAGTGAAACCGCTTCTAATAGTTGTAACATTATATTGCCCACCAACCCTGGGGTCGGTCAGAGCTTTGCAGCATTTGAGAAATAAGTAAGTTTGTAACCTGTTTCTATGCAATGATTAGTCCTATCGGTTGCAATAAACTTGCTTATTTCTCCTAATCTAAAATGTATCTGGAGGCAAGGATTTGGACTTTATTTTAATGGTTGGACTTGAAGCTGAAAAACTGCGAGTATGAGAGGCCACTCGTGACACGTGATGAATGTATTTTCATACAATCACTTTTTTAATGTTTTCTTTGTGTTGCCGTGAATGCTCAAAGAAATCCGAGTGAAGGTTTTTTAAAATTAATTTATGATGTGTGATATTGTACCTTCATTTACAGCGTGCAGTTTTAATAAAGTGTCGTTAAATTTCGATTCAAAGCTTTCGTGACTGCAGCAGGGATTCATATTCTTGGTTATTTCGGTCAAGTCACGGAGAAGGGAAAAAATACAATTTAAAGTGTCATTAATTTCCTTTGGTGGTCATGGCCGTGAATTGTGCAATATCGACGTTAAACAATTCCCAGAGCACACGTGCACTAATGCGTCTGTGGTGGTCCCTTAATTATAATTAAGATAATGATCTTACACTCTTCTTCCTGATTGCTTGCCAATGCCATCCAGTGGGAGCCTTCAAAGCTTCTGGCCTCATTCCGCCATCATAAGAATCATAAGAATCATTTACATTTGTGATGCGAATCTCATCCAAGGATCCCAAAGCGCCATCTCGTGTTCTGTCGACCGCCCCTTCCCCCCATGGGCCTCAGTTCTGTTGTTCATCTCACCTGTCTCTTCGTCATCAACGTTTTTGGGTTAATTGGCTGTGTCGGGTGGTGGAGGGTTACGACACATTTATACTTATGCGATCTAACCCAACGTTTATGATTTCGATTTAGTGCTTTCGTGACTGCAGGGATTCATCTTCTTGGTTCTTTCGGTAAAGTCACGTAGAAGGGAAATAATAAAAGAATAAAAATGAAACGTAATAAAATACAATTCTCACGACGTTTTGGCCACAACGCAAGCAGCCGTCTTCAGGTGAATAATATTGGTCGCGAAAGCCGACGTGACACATTCTGGTGGTGCCCTGCTCACGGCCATTCATTTTATGTGTCACTGTAATTTGCATCTGTTGTCTTGGTTTTAATTCTCAAATCTTCTGATTGATCATTTCGTCCCTTGCTACGTTCGAAATCATTGCTTGCTCTGGTATACTTATATGGAATAAGCTGGATGTAAGCACAGTTCTGATATAAACAACATTTCACTGGTGGAGATATTCACAGGGCACCTGATGCAAGTGCACTTTGGATGGACTTGCATGCAAAACGTGCTTTTATCCAGCTTATACTGAAATACTATCATAACCCATTATTACTGAAACAATGACATGTAATTGTTCTAAACAATGTACCAATTTTATATTCGCTAAACTTGACCGCAAACGCCTTTCTCTGGCAGTCGTAACAGCGCCCAGCAGACGGCGGCACTTTGACAGCCACAAGCAGCGCTCCACATCGTCCAGTGCCGGAGATGGACATTCCACATTCCTGCGCCGGGGGACCTGGTTCAGTGGGACAGCCGCTGATGATGTGCATGCACCACGTGGTACAGGCTGACAATGTCCTGCTCGTTTCAGCAACCCCAGAGGCACGGACGGTGGTGATGACACCAATGCTGTTGCTCTTGACGTTGATGAGGATGCTGCTGCTGATGATGATGATCCTGCTGATGAGGCGCAGTCCGTGACCCTAACACGACTTGAACTCAACCTCGCAGTTGGGTGTTTCCAACTCTCTACAATATAACATCCTAGGTAATATACGTAGTACTGATAAGCAACTGGATTTATGTTGTCGTTTTGAGCTCCGTATGCTTAGATCTCTCCTGGTTACCCTTGCACAAAGAGACGTTAAGGGGAGACACGGGTGGGGGAAAAAAGTGTCGATATCCCAACGATGGGAGTTGTTTGTGTTTAAAAAAAAAATTAAAATTTTCTTGCTGTGGATTTCACACCTGATGATGATTGCTTGTGTTGCAGTCGAAACGTGAGAATTTTTATTGTTTTATATTATTTTATTATTTCCCTTCTACGTGACTTTACCGAACGTCGAATTAAAAGAGGTTTGTCCGTTGGTTAACGCGTCGCCCCGAGTGTGTGTCCGCGTCACTTAACGCGCCCTGCGGATCGTCATGGGTTGCGCTATTACCGCCACCCCATAGTCTCTAAGCCTCTAAGCGATAGTTTGGGGATACGTCGAATGGCCGAAAGTTCGATTCCCAACACTGGTCCTGGCGTCAAATGAGTGGCATGTACAAACATCGCTAGCACCGGGGAGACAAAGGCGGCCGGGCGTGGTGCTGGTAGCCACCCACCCCCTCGTGTGCCACAGCGCCGGTAGCCTTCATAGGTGCTGCTGCTACTCACAGCACTTGCCCCTACAGCCTGTTGCAGGCTACACGGGGGGTCTTTGTTGTTTGTGGTATAGACACACATCAAGAATATCTCCCGACCGCCCTAGAGATCTTGTCAGCTGCTCACACACACACAGAGAGAGAGGTCGCTGTCCAGAGATGTGGCTGCAATAGTAACACAAATGTCTAAACAAATCCTTTCTTTGCAGTCACCCGATGTGGTTTCATCGACAAGGAAACACAACTTTTAATTGTACCAAGTAAGGCCCCCACTGAGCCACTTAGCTTCTTTTTTGAAATCAGAATCGACCTGGAACATCGCAAATGATGTCTCGACCACGTGGCCCCAACAGCATCACGTGGGAGATTGGCAGCAGCAGCAGCCGAAATACTCGAAACGCGCGTGACCTTTAATTCTGAATGTGACCCCAACATTGTCCCCCAACTCGCTCTCGCCCGGTGGACATCACGATCAGCAACAACAACAACCACAGCCACTACCAACTCATGGGGGAGGGGTCAGGGGGAGGGGTCAGGGGGAGGGGTCAGGGAGAGGGGTCAGGGAGAGGGGTCAGTGTGTGTGTGATCAATCAGTGTGGTGGGGGGGGGTGGTGGGGGGGTGAGAGCTGACAAACTCCAACTCTACAGGCGTCAGGATCGGGATTCGAACCCACGCCCTGCACACCGTCACGAGCGTTTACATTTGGGAGTGGTGCGAGGGGGGGGGTCACCGATCTTCGCCACACACACGGACACTCACACGGACACTCACACACACGGACACTGTCAGGAGTCCACGCTCGCTCTAGCGCCCTCTCCTGGCCGTGCAGGGCACGGCACCTCGGCGTCCAAGCGACGAGACTCTCACGACATCTGTGCGACCAGGCCAAGCCCCGCGCTCGCCACAGCGCTGCCGGGTGACAGGCGCGCGTCACCGCCACGTGGTCGTCGTCGTTGAACTGCGCCTTGTGGCGTCGTCTGGTCCAACACCACCAGGGCGAGACTGGGCTCTAAGGAAAGCTAATTCTAGATTTGAAGCTTTCGTGACTGCAAGGATTCATATTCTTAGGTTTTTTCGGTAAAGTCACCGTGTAGGTAAAACATCAAAATTAATGAAAATAAAATAAAACAAAAATCACGACGTTTCGGAGGCAACACAAGTCTCCGTCATCAGGTGGGACCGTCACAGCTAAGGGATTACATCTTGAATCCCTGCCTCACTTGATGCAGCTAATTCGGCTGTGACGGTCCCACCTGATGACGGAGACTTGTGTTGCCTCCGAAACGTCGTGATTTTTGTTTTATTTTATTTTCATTAATTTTGATGTTTTACCTACGTGACTTTACCGAAAAAACCTAAGAATATCTAAGGAAAGCTGTCTCGGGTGTGGAAGAATCAACTTCAAGGACAGTGCACATTATCAGAGTTGTGTGTTTTGATTGCATTCCGACCGCAGGTATTGTGGTCTATGCAAACATGACTCCTTGTAAATAATGTGTCAGTTTTGTTGCCAGATAGAAGGGTAAACAACCAATTATCATTATTATTATGATCGTAGTTGTTTACAAATAGGTACTAGGTCGACTCAGCCTCAAATGAGTAGCTGGTGCGGTGTGTAAACACCGTCACTGGGGAGACAAAGGCGGTCGCGCGTGCTTGCTGGCTACCCCCCACCCACCCCTCGTGTGCCGTGTCGGCCTTCATAGGTGCTCGCTAACAGCACTTGCCCCAACATTCTGTGCAGGCTATACGGGGGATCTTTGTCTTTGTGTGAGGGGTGCTCGCTAGTAGCACTTGCCCCAACATTCTGTGCAGGCTACACGGGGGATCTTTGCCTCTGTCTTGGGAGCAAGTCGTTCTAGTTTCTATTTATTTCCCTGTGTGGTGTGTAGTGTAAGCAATGTGGGATATCGATGTACACGAACATGAACAGCAGACAAAGACGTCTTTCATACTCTTTGGTTCTTTCAGTAAAGTCACGTAGGTAGAAAAAAATAAATAATAAATAAATCACGACGTTTCGATCGCAACACGAGCAGTCGTCCTCAGGCGAAAACATCCAGACATTGTCGCGGCAGAAGTCACGTGAGCTGCAGCTGAGCATTGTTGTAATGCGGTGGGCTCACGCGACATTGATTTCTGTAAGACGAAGGAACTTTGAAAACCCACTGGCGACGCTCTTTAGTGTCAGTCTCGTGTCCTTGACTCACCACACGGAGACGTCTGGTTGAGGCGACGCGTTCATTGCAACTCTGTCGAACTCGGCTCCTCTAGCCACGACTCTAGCACGCAGGGGTACGGCCCCTTCCACCCGACAGCCCACGGGAGTGACAGCCCCTTCTACCGCAGCAGCAGCAGCCTGCACACTCCGGGCTCTGCTACCCACGGGTCCCTGAGCCCGGCGGCGTTCAGGGAAGACTGGACGGGCCGTCCCAGCCAGGGTACAGGAGCTCACCTCGGGTCCGCTACAACGCAGCTCTGGCTAGAGCCTCGTTGAGGGTCCCCGGGGTGCCGGTCCAGTCTTCAGGTCTTGGGATGTCCTCAGGCTTGAGCTGGTGAACACCGCCCGGCCCGTCCAGAGGGCCGAACTTTTATCCCCATGTCGGGGTCGCCCCTCCCCTTCTGACCCCCCCCCCCTCCCAGAACCTTCTGGAAGGTCTTATCTTAAGGGGTCTTAGGGACGGGTGGGGGGTCAGGGGTGTTAGTCTCCGGTCACGGTGGGGGGCCGGGGGTTTAACCTTTGGTCGACCCCTACGCACCTCGCTCTCTCTCTCGGCTGCCCCCTGTTGACCCGTGCACGTGGTGGCAGGTCAGCTGACAGCGCCTTGTTATGGCGCTTACGCACAACTTCGTGACGAACGCTGCACGTTCCGTCGCTTTCATGCAGGGGGCACTGCAAACCTACGCGTCCCCTGCATGAACGACGGAGGCACAGGGACAGACGTTCGATCACGTTGGAATCGATCTGCAGACGGCGGTCTTCTCGCACGGCCAGCTCTGTGTCGCCTCATCTCCACCCCGCGATCCCAACCAGGTGAAAGTCCGCATCGAACAGAATCCCCGGCAAGGCCATCTACTTCACGACGAGAGAAAATTCACAGGAAATGTCGTTTTCAATGAAGTCTTCCAGATGTAAAATAAAAAGCTTTTAATGAAGAAATACAATTATCAAATTCAAAACATAATACAATTCAAAGTTGTTTCATTTTTAAACGTCAAAACGGAGCATCGGGAGCTTGCGTGGATGCGTCGCTCGTGTGCAATTCTTTTCGTGACTTTCCAATCAGCAAGGACCATTTCTTATCCTAATTCGACAAAATCTTTGTCAACACGTAATACAAAATTATAATTCGTGTTGTAGAGAATGTTCCTCCTTTTCGTGTAACTTTTAATTGGTATGCCTTGTAACTGATCAATGATCCGAGCGTGCTCGCTATTTCAAAGACAATGAGTTGCTGCTCCAGAGGGAGACGCTTCCTGAAAACACAAAAATACCCTTTGACCTGTATCACAAGAACAATGAGTCTCACCTGAGTTATCTGTACAGGTTACTTGCAAAACACACACTGTGTCCTAACATCACTTATTCAATGTTTGACCCTTAAAGACAAAAGGTTACATGTACGCGCACCATCAGACAAGTATTCAGTCTAAATTCGTGACAGGCATATGAACAAAATTGAATGACTGCACTGAAATATGCTTTATTAGTTTACATCCTATTAACAAGAAGCTAATTAAAAAAATATGCACCGTCTGCTTAACAGTATCTGTACTAATGCACCATTCAAAACGAGTCGGCCATTGCATGCTGGCATCCGAGTTAAAATGTAGCAAATTCCAAACATTAGCTACAAACTCCACAACTGAGACGCCACATCAACCATTGCCCCCTACTGACAGGCTCTTGTCCACACGCAGGCCGCTGCAGGGCCACCACCTTGTGCCACACAGGGGCAGCTGCCACTTGGGGATGTTTCGAGTGTTTGAGACCAGATACGATGCAAAACTCAGAGTTACCAGAGGCGATTAAGCAAGCGCCATGTAAATGCAATTATGATGAGAACATAGTGAATGCTTGGGAGCTTATTGGCTCTCGCTCCTGGTTAGAGATCTACCCAAAACACAGGTCCACAAAGACTGGCTGCTCTTACCCTGCAGGTGGAACCTAGGAACTGAGTGTTCAACTTCGCATTCTTTTCATTAAAGGCCTGTGACAAGGGTGCATCTATTGGAGCGACATCGTCTCTGGCTTACACATATACCGGGTCTCCATTTCACTTTGTGTTGTCTCAGAGGAAGTCCACCCACACCTCCACTTCCACAAACTGCTGGGAGTTGCCTCGCTCTGCCTCAGTCAGATCTCCTCCTGCTTCACGTTGCCTCCATCGATGTGAAAGTCCCATTTTAAAGTTGAATCTTCATCTTCACATTTTACCTTCACTTCTTCGCTCTTCACCATCACTTCTTCACATTCCAACTTCACCTCTTCAAATTCCACCTCGATACCTTTAAGTGTCCAAGCTGGGATATTTTTCCGGTTCTTGTTTGATGAGGGATGGGCTCATTGCAGCACTTTGACTTTCACAAGCTGATTTCAGACTCCACTCTTTGCAGATCTTTTGATGCTTGTGTCTTCTCTGGTGTACTTGAAGATTTGATGACCGTGCAAACGCCTTCCTGCAGGTTGCACCTGAAGGGTTTCTCTCACATGTGTGTTCTCTGGTGTACTCTAAGATTTGGTGACTGTGCAAACGCCTTCCCACACACACTGCACTTGAAGGGTTTCTCTCCCGTGTGAGTTCTCTGGTGTATTACAAGAGCAGATGACTGTGCAAATGCCTTCCCACACACACTGCACTTGAAGGGTTTCTCTCCCGTGTGTGTTCTCTGGTGTATTACAAGAGCAGATGACTGTGCAAATGCCTTCCCACACACACTGCACTTGAAGGGTTTCTCTCCCGTGTGTGTTCTCTGGTGTATTACGAGATGACATAAAACAGAAAACACCTTTCCACACACACTGCACTTGAAGGGTTTCTCTCCCATGTGTGTTCTCTGGTGTCTTTTAAGAGCAGATGGCCGTAAAAATGCCTTCCCACACACACTGCACTTGAAAGGTTTCTCTCCTGTGTGTGTTCTCTGGTGTTGTTTAAGATTATATGACTGTGAAAATGCCTTCCCACACACACTGCACTTGAAGGGTTTCTCTCCTGTGTGTGCTCTCTGGTGCTGTGTCAAATTTCCAGTCCGCTCCATGCTGTATCCACGCTGGTCGCATTGTTGCCTTGCCGTACCGAGCTGTGCTGACTGCCTTTGCTCCATCAGACCAAGCGACAGCTGTAGACAGAAAAAAATAATATCCACACCACCTACACGTCAGTGTCGAGGCACAGATGAATGCAAAAACACAGTCACACGTGACTTACACGTCTATACTTATTCATATATTCATGATGCCGTGAAAAAGTTTCCCAAATTCATCACACAGGCTGTTATTGCACACAATGAGAGGGCAAATGGTCATAAACATGCCTGGAAGCCCTCGTATCTCCGTGCTGAGATGTTAACTACCTCGCCTGGTATACAGGAAGTAGTGGGTTCGATCCCGACCCTGACACCTGCTGCTGTATATTTTGAATTTGCGTGTCTCTCTCTCTCTCCGTGGTGAGATGCTAACTACCTCGCCTGGTATACAGGAAGTAGTGGGTTCGATCCCGACCCTGACGCCTGCTGCTGTATATTTGGAGTTTGGTGTCTCTCTCTCATCATCATCACGGTGGCTAGGAGATGTTAACTACCTCGCCTGGTATACAGGAAGTCGTGGGTTCGATCCCGACCCTGACGCCTGCTGCTGCTGTATATTTGGAGTTTGCGTGTCTCTCTCTCTCCGTGGTGAGATGTTAACTACCTCACCTGGTATACAGGAAGTCGTGGGTTCGATCCCGACCCTGACGCCTACTGCTGCTGCTGTATATTTGGAGTTTGCGTGTTTCTCTCTCTCCGTGGTGAGATGTTAACTACCTCGCCTGGTATACAGGAAGTCGTGGGTTCGATCCCGACCCTGACGCCTGCTGCTGCTGTATATTTGGAGTTTGCGTGTCTCTCTCTCTCCGTGGTGAGATGTTGACTACCTCGCCTGGTATACAGGAAGTCGTGGGTTCGATCCCGACCCTGACGCCTGCTGCTGCTGCTGTATATTTGGAGTTTGCGTGTCTCTCTCTCTCCGTGGTGAGATGTTGACTACCTCACCTGGTATACAGGAAGTCGTGGGTTCGATCCCGACCCTGACGTCTGCTGCTGTATATTTGGAGTTTGCGTGTCTCTCTCTCCGTGGTCGCGTGGATTTTCCTCCGAATCTCCCGGGTTTCCCCTCCACATTTAGAGTCAACATCAGCACGCGTTCAGCGTCTTTGACCGATACACATTTCCACACGTATTCTTGGTTCTTTCGGTAAAGTCACGTAGATAGACAATAACAACAGATAATAACATCAAATAAAGGCCACTTGTGTTGCGATCGAAACGTCGTGGGGTTTTTTGATTTATTTACAATTTTGTTTACTTTTATTCATTTTATTATGTTATTTTTATTAATTTTCTATCTCCGTGACTTCACCGAAAGAACCAAGAATATGAATTGCTGCAGTTACGAAAGTTTTAAGTCAAAACATTGACACACGCGTTGACAAACCCACCTTGTTGTTGTTGTTGTGGGCAGGTAGCTTCTGTAAACAAGAGCGGTACAGCAGCTCAGGCGGGCTTGGGCTGGTAAAAAAACGAAAAAAAACTGCGTTAATATCTACAATAAACCAAAGTGACAAAGTAGCGAGCCGCGTGAAGACAAATTAAACTTAAGGGAGGGAATTAAAGCAAACGCGACCAGGCGAGGGCAGGAGGCAAGGCCCCGCGTGTCTAGGCCCCGCGTTGTAAAGTTCCAACTTGGACATCGATTCACAAGCTGCTGCTGCTCTAGTGACATCCCTACGAGAGAGAGAGCGAGGCTCTAGCTTGGTAAACAACAACAACAACCACAACAACAACCACAACAACAACCGCGATGAGAATTTCTCACCTCGGATTTCACTGCACGCGCGAAGCTGCAGCTCGTGACGTCACGCGGCAGCAGATGACATGACGTCACTTCTGTGGTACAAGCAATTCTCCTCCCACAACGAGTGACGTCATTAATAAATTATGTTAATGTTTTGCAGTGGGTAGCGCCCTCGCTTCCCATGCGAAAGGTCGCGGGTTCGATCCCCGCGTCCTCCACAGGCGAATATATTTTTTTACATTTATTCAAATAGAAAACGTTACACATTTGGTGAGTCCATTGAGCAAGGCACTGACCGCTTGATTGGGATTTGCTGTTAATTAAAAGAAACATTGTTGATCGTAATTTTACTTTTACATGGTTCGTATTTTTATTATATAACGTAATAAAATAATTATTTTATGTTTTATATTGTTAAAAAAATAATAAAATAAAAATTTGCCCATGAGCAAAAAAATAATTATTTTATTATATTTTATTTTTAAATAAAAATAATAAAATAAAATTTTATTGTGTTTAAAAAATGTATTACTTTATTATGTTTTATTATTTGATTATTTCCATTCTACGTGACTTTACCGAAAGAACCAAGAAGATGACACACACAGCTTGCACGATACCAACGACACTAGGACCCTCTCGATGCTACGGAGAGATCGGCGCACCTGGTAGCGTGAGCACGCCACTAAGTGTGTTGAATTCTCCGATGTTTTGGTAGCCGGATCAATTCCCGCATCCTCCACGAGGAATATTTTTTTAAATCAAATTTTAAATGTAACATCCATCGTTATTGTTGGTGACATGTTCACATTGGTGAACCAGCTTGACCTCTTGTCGCCCTCGATTTTGCTGTTTTGAAGTCCCTTTAAGGCGAATGAGATGTGACGAGAAATATTTTTTTTTAATAAAAATCTCATCGCGCCTGGCAGGAGTCGAACCTTCTAATCCGCAGGCAGCCGCGTTAACCATTACACCACAGAGCCCACGTGATCATGATGGGGATATCCGTTTGGTGAAATTTGTACATATCATGCTCATTGTGTTACACATCTCAAATGCACGTCCAGTACAAGGATAGACGGTGTGAAATGTCTTGCTAACAACACAGAGCTCGCTAACACACACGACTGGCACGCTAGTAACTACACTGGAGCCCTCTCGATGCCAAGGAGAGTTTAGCGTCGTTGGTAGCGTGAGCACGCCACTACAACACTAAACTCTTCGACGTTTAGGTTCGATGCCCGCATCCTCCACGAGGAATATTTTTTTATTTTAAATGTAACGCCCCAGCGTTATTGTTGGTGACATGTTCACATTGGTGACCCATCTTGACGTCTCGTCGCCCTCGATTTTTGATGCGGATTTGCAGTTTAATAAACCCGCATCTTAGTTGATGTAAAAGTGCGGCGCGAGTTGCTCGCTGCGCTGAAGACTCCCGCCTCTGGGCGGCAGGCGGCGCTCGTGAGAACGCGAGAGGCGCCAGCTGAGAGCTGCACCCCGAGGAAGCCTCTTGGCGGGTTGTTGTTATTGTCGCACTGAAACACGTTCATTAGCTTCAGCGCAACGGGGTCTCTGCTCGTGAAAGTAAAAACGGAGTTTCCTTTTTGAAAACTATTGTTTGCGTGGAGGATACGGGGATCGAACCCGCGACCTAAAAAAATAATTATTTTATTATGTTTTATTTTTATACATAATAAAATATTTTATTATTTTATTATTTCCATTCTACGTAATAAAAAAAAAACATAATAAAAATAATTATTTTATTACGTATAAAAATAATTATTTTATTATGCTGTATTTTTATTATTTTATTATTTCCCTTCTACGCAACTTTGTTTAAATGTTATTATTTTATTATTTCCCTTCTACGTGCCTTTATGGTGAATTATTATTTTATTATTTCCCTTCTATGCGACTTTGTTCTATTTGTATCATTTTATTTCTCTTTTACGCGACTTTATGTTTTATTATATTATTATTTCCCTTCCATGCGACTTTATGTTTAATTGTTACTATTTTATCATTTCCCTTGCACGCGACTTTATGTTGTATTTTTATTATTTTATTATTTCTCTTCTGCGAGACACAGAGAGAGACACACAGAGAGAGACACACACAGACACACAGAGAGAGAGACACACACAGAGAGAGACACACACAGAGAGAGACACACACAGACACACAGAGACACACACACACACACAGACACACAGAGAGACACACACAGACACACAGAGAGAGAGAGACTCGGCACTGTACGTAATCCAAGCGTTTGGTGGGGGGAGCTGGACGACTGAGTGGCTGAGTAAGACGGTTGCTGATTGGCTGAAGCGTGGGTGTGTGAGGCGTTGCTGATTGGCTGAGGCGTGGGTGTGTAAGACGATTGCTGATTGGCTGAGTGGCTGAGTGAGCCGATTGCTGATTGGCCGAGGCGTGGGTGTGTGAGGCGTTGCTGATTGGCTGAGTGGTTGAGTAAGACGGTTGCTGAATGGCTGAGGCGAGGGTGTGTGAGAGGGGGGCTGCTGATTGGCTGAGTGGGTGGGCGGGGCTCCATCTTTGTGTGAAGCCAGGTGACGCGTTCCGCCATTTTCTCAACATTTAGATTCAGGGTGACGCATCTTATTGTAGCTCCCAGCGAATTCTAGCGACTTCTCGTGACTTACAGCGAATTCTAGTGACTTCTCGTGACTTACAGCGAATTATAGTGACTTCTAGTGACTTCTAGTGACTTCTAGAGACTTCTAGAGACTTTTAGTGACTTCTCGAGACTTCCAGCGAATTCTAGAGACTTCTAGAGACTTCCAGAAGCTCCCATCATCACACGGAGAAACACGCAGAAAAGGCGGGTTTTTCAACTAGGTATGTATAAATGTTGTATGTATAAATGTTGTATGTATAAATGTTGTGTGTATAAATGTTGTGTGTATAAATGTTGTATGTATAAATGTTGTGTGTATAAATGTTGTGTGTATAAATGTTGTGTGTATAAATGTTGTGTGTATAAATGTTGTGTGTATAAATGTTGTGTGTATAAATGTTGTGTGTATAAATGTTGTGTGTGTGTACTCTTTAAGTTTTTTTTCACGTAGGGTAAAAAATAAAATTAAAACTTAATAAAAGTTTTAGTAGAAATACAGCGAATGTAGCTGTGACGGGCCCAGCTGATGACGACACGTCGTGATTTATTATTTTATTTCTATTATTACTTTTATTAATGTTATTATTTTAACCTTCGTGACTTTCCCGCATCGATTAGCAAATTAGATTTCGTTCGCTTGCAAAAATTAATCGTTAAAGAGTTAATAATTCTTTAACGATTCATTTTGGGAGCTTGGTGAGGGGGTTGATTAGGCCTCAGCTTGGGCGCTCGCCTGGATCTCAGGCCGGGCTCGGTGGGCCGGAGTCGCTAGGCGAGGCCGTGGTCCCCCGACGTGAGGCGAGGCCTGGTGACTACCCATCATATCTCGCCCTCTCACGTTCACATTGGTGCACTTGCAACGATTTGTTTATGTTACTCGTGGGCTATAAGCTTTCATTGTGACGTTGCCGTGCTTTAAACATTGTTATTTATCTTCTTGGTTCTTTAGGTAAAGTCACGTAGAATGGAAATAATAAAAATAAAACATCGTAAAATACTTTATGTTTAATAAATGATTGGTTCTTTCGGTAAAGTCACGTAGAATGGAAATAATAAAATAATAATAAAACGTTAAAAAATACTTTATTATGTTAAATAATTTATTGGTTTTTTCGGTAAAGTCACGTAGAATGGAAATAATAAAATAATAAAATGTAAACTTCATAAAATAAATTATAAACCAATTAAATATTGTATTGCTTTATTTTTATAATTTATAAAACATAATAAAATATTTTATTATGTGTTATT